ACTGAGACTCCACGGTAAACTTACGCAGACAGAACATACAGCCAGATGAGGATGGATAAGGGAGATTGTGACACAGACCAAAGAGAACACTAACCTACTAACCTGCTAGCCCGCCACATGTTGCCACATGACGGGCGAACAGAATGGGGAAAATTCTTATATTTAAAGAGCACAACGTGCAACCAGCCATTGCAAATTAGCTGGAGACCACACATTTTTGCACTCAAATACTCACCAGATTTCACACACTCACACCTGCTTTTTTCCCTGCACACCTCTTTCTCCACTTATTTCTCAACAACCACTCCTTTTTCCATCTCTTCTACCTTGCCTTTGTTACATCCTCTTAGCTAGCATCAATGACTGGACAAAAGAGCAACCCAGTGCTTTTCTCATCATTTCTTTAGTCACGCTCTCTTCATTCGCCTCTACGGATTAGCTAAACTAACTTTACAAAACAAGTTTCCCCAAAGAGCCCACTTCTCATCTTAGCTGCCTAGATTTCAGGACGTAGCTAAGGACAGTAGTTACTGACACAAACACATTTAACTTACCGAAAAAAAGCAGTGGCGGGGCCTCGGTCTGTCTGTGGGGTAGTCCAGTTTACTGAAGAACACCTCAGGCTGTCCAATAAATATAAATATCATGCTTTATTGAAGCTTGAAAAACTCCATGCCCTTGGCTACAAACCAGCGCTGCTTCTTGGGAAGAAGAGCAAAACAGGAGAAATCGGATGTGAAATATTAACCCCTGGCTGCAGACTAACAGCCTATGTTCAGGAATCCCTTCAGAGGATGGGCTGATGTTATGTGTACCTTTGTAAAGGTAAGATTCAGATCCTGCAGTTTTAAAGTTATGATTTATGTTTAGTGTCTAAAAATATTTTCTTATGTTTACCTGTTAGAAGACCATTTTACTGTAAAAACAGAAATTCAATCATCAATCCTTCTCCCATTTTCACATAAGCAGCACATAATTTATAAGTGTTGGTTCCTTCCTCAGCGGTAGTTAACAACATATGGTGGCTTATTTTTCCTTTCCAAATCTTGAGTGACAGCTACTTTTGCTGCTATCACGCTTAAAGATAGCAGCACCCTGAGGTGAAGAGAAGAGGGGACAGCACAGTTCCCTTTGGTGCTCCTGTGCTGCTGACCACAGTGTCAGACGTGACGTCCTTCAGCCTGACGTACTGTGGTTTGTCAGTGAGGTAGTGACTTTGGCCTGAGTCTTGCAGTTCCAGTGAAAGGAAATCTTAACGCTTCAGGTTATAAAGACATTTTGGACCAGTCTGTGCTTAAAACATTGTGAGAACAGTTTAGGGAGGGTCTTTTTCCCTTCCAACACGTCTGTGACCTAATGCACAAACATGGTCCATAAAGACATGATTGAATGTGTCTGGCATAGAAGCAGAGTGGCTTGCTTTGAGCCCTGATCTTAACTCCTAGA